AATACAGCGACTGCACCTAAATCCAGAGTGGAGTGGAGTGACCTCCAGAGCTCGCCGCCACCGTTACTCATCCTGGGTTTCAGGGTCAGTCGTAGAAGGGTTCCTTAATCTTTTTTTTTTTTTTTTTAAAGGAAGGAGGCACTTTTGCCTTTTTTTAAGTTTTGGGGTACTTTTTGGTGAAGTCAGGTCCTCAGGAACCCCAGCTGAGCCCTCTAATCCAGCCATCCTCCCCATCTCTACCATCTCTTTCCCATCAGTGCATACACACAGTCAAGTTCATCTTCCAAAGAAGCTTTGAGAGAGAAAGGGCTTTAACTCCTCCTCTTTCAACACACCTTCACTTCTTCCTTTTACAGCTGAGTTTGTTTGTTTGTTTTTTTAATTTTTTGCTGTTGTGTGCATGCACTCACTGGAAAGAAAGAGACAAAAAGTGGGGCCAGCAGGTGGCTGGACTCCCTCATGGCTGACCATCGTTCAAGTCCTGGACCTGGCAGCTTGCTTTCTCACTTTCTGTCTCTCTCTGGTCAACTTCAAAAAAATAGAAAAATAAAGTAATTACAATGAATAAAATTTTTAAAAATCTATTTAAAAAAAGAGACAAAAAGTGAGAGAGAGGGACAGTGAGAAATCATCCCCCTCAGCACAGTCCGCTCTCCTCCATTCTCAGGATTGGGATGCGCACGCGCGCACACACACACACACACACACACACACACACACACCTGCACAGCGTATTTTTCAAACACTAGGTCCGGGACTCAAACTGCTCAGTCAATCATATGATTATTTAAAATTTGTGCAAATGTACTGTGTTGTTTGGTTGTCAACTTGGTCAAGTTGGCTATTTCCCCAAATTACTTTTCATTTATATAGGGACTTCAAAAAATTCATGGAAAAGAGGAATTAAAGTACCAGTTTATTTCAATGCAAAAACTTTTTGAAATCCATACATGCTTTTTTCTATCATACACCTTTCCCTTGAACTTTTTAAAGACCCCCTTCTATAGCTCTAGTTAGAATGAGCCAAAAAGAACAGTAGCAGTGGCCATGGCTCTGGCAGCTCAGGACTGAATGCAAGTAACAAAGAATCCTGATGATTGTTCAGAGGCTCTTCCCGGTCTCCTCCGTCACTCAGTCAGCCAGCAGTCTCAGTCTGTGTGCAGAGGAACCTTGGTGTGACAGCAGGGGCATTTAATCGGAACTCAATCCTGCACAGACACGTTCTGTGGGCAAGATGAGAGGATGGAGAATACAAATCTAAATGACGACATCTGGAGGGCCTGTTGATACTGGCCCAGAATATCACCACGATCTGAAGAGGGAGCTTTTTAAGCTCAGGCAAATGTGCGATAAAGCAGACATGAACACGGTCCTTACCTTCAAGTCTGAAGACTCCAGATTCAAAGTCATCGATAAACTCCCATCCTGAAGAAGTAAAATGAAATTAATCCAGTAAGTTGTCATGAGTCAGTTGCACAGTCACAGAAACATCAGGATAGGGGCCAGCAGGTGGTGTGATGGTTAAGGGTGC